GTGCTTCCGTAGAATCCAGGGGGTCATCTTCCCCCAAGGACATCAGCAGGCGTGTGTTGGGGGAATGGAACTTCACCCCAGTGTGCTCACGTCCTCTGGGTAGAGTTGGGGAGGCATAAGGTAGTCCCGGGCAGGTGTCGGGGTGATGACCCTGTGGGAACTGTAGTGTGAGCACAGGGCAGAGTGGCCCAGGCTGCTGGATCAGGGAGGACGTCAAAAAGAGGTGGTCTTTCAGTTGGAGGGAGAGGCTGGGGAGGGGAGGGGGAGGCAGGGAGGAGGAGAGGGGCACTTTTGTTCTTGTAGTGGGTGTGAAAGAGCCCGTGGTCACAGGAGCCAGCGGCTCAGTGGTTGGAGTCAGGGGTGGGCCTGGTGGGTGGGGAGGACAGGGCCAGGTCGGCAGGGCCACAATGCCATGCTGCGGGGTCTGAACTCTGTACGGAAGCCCTGTGAGTTTTTCTGAGGAGTGACATGATCAGATTTGCATTCCAGCCAAGTCTCTGGTCTCAGGCAGCAGCCACCCTTCCCGTGGGCACCGCCTTCCCACGTGAACGCTTCTCTTCTGTTTGAATTGTTGTTTTAAAGTGCTGTTTCCAGCCCTCGGCGCTGATTTCCTGTCTCTGAATAGTTTTGATCTCTGGTTTGAACAGTGCTGGATTACAGAGAGGGAGACCAAGGGAAGAGAGTCCAGCCAGGGATCCAAGGGCTCCAGGGCCTCCTGGGGGGTGGGAGGGGATCACCGAGGCCCCAGGATGAAGGTCCTGCTGGGCAGGTATCCAGGGCCTGCCTGCCCTGCGAGGTGTGCTAAGGATCCAGAACTGTGGTTTTATAACTCAGACACATTGCGTGGTGTCTGAAAGCCATTTCATTAAATGCCACATAGATTCAAAATAGAAATTACATCTCTGGGACAAAGCCCATTGAGCGGGGAGCCAGGCACACTGAATTGGAACCAGTGTCATCTCACAAGGCAGGGATGGTGTGTCCAAGGCTGCCACCCACCTCCTCATTCACATCTGACCTCTCCAGAGGAGGCGGAGGTCCTGGAGGCCAGTCACCTGCAGTGAATCAGCCAGCTGGGAGAAGAATGGCAGCCCCTGGTCACATACCTCCAGCTGTACTTATGACTCAGGACCCTCAGCTGCTGCTGAGGAAGCCATCTTCTCCTCGAGGACCCCAGGGCTGCCCGAGAAGGTGTGGGCCTGAGTCACGCTGCTAGTGGGAAGCAGAGATGGCTCTGGACTCCCAGCTCAGGACTCAAACACGGTTTCTCTCTACCCCAGGACACTCTTTGTACCCCCAGGCTCTTTGTGTTTCAGAACCAGATGATGGAGAGGTGTGACCCGGCAGGACACCTGGGGAAGGGGCTTGGGCTGGGTACTTTTCAAGTCTGGAAACTTTGCTATAGGGGATCCACGGGGCGAGCAGCCCTGCATCTGCCTTCTGTCCCCAGCCTTCACCTGCTTTCTACCCAGTCAGCCACCAACGTGGCCACTTCTGGGGCCTGTCAGCCCAGCCTGCAGCCCTGGATGCTGCTCCTTCCACCACTTCTCCAGGTGGGCCAGGCTTGGAGGATGTCAGGAAGGTGGGAGGGGGCAGGCAGAGCAGGCCTTTGGGGGAGCACCTGGGATCCCAGGGTAGGCAGGGGGGAGCAGGGGGCAGGCCCATGGCAGGAGCACACACAGCACAGGGAGAGAAGCCTGGGCATTGGCTTCGTTGGCCATGAACTTGCGCTTTTTGTGTGTATTATTTCTTTCCATCCACTTGTGTGTGTGTGTGTGTGTATGTGTGTGTGTGGTGCTGGGGATTGAACCCAGGGCCTTGTGCATGCGAGGCAAGCCCTCTATCAACGGAGCTGTATCGCCAGCCCTTTCTATCCACTTTTTAAAGGATCATTTTGTTTTCTGACATTCATGTTGGATGCATACCTTGTTCCTTTTTGTGTTTACTTGTTTAGACACAAGTTACTAAAATCGTGAAATTTCCTGTGAGAACGCATTTAGCCAGAGTCCCACGGATGCTGCACTGGCTGCACTCTGCACTCCGGTGTTCTGGGCTGTTTATTTCTCTGCCTTCCTTGCTTTGGGTTTGACTTCCCTCTGACTCACGACTTAGGCATTTTCTCCCCAGGTGGCGGCTGTTCCCCTCCTTCAGGTTCCTCAGACATTTTTGTTTGATGGCACTGTTGTGCAACTGAGGGAATGCTGTTTCCATTAGTTCTTCTTTTCGGAATTCACTGAGCTCTTCCTTGTGGCCTTCTTTGATGACTGATTTTTGTGACTGCTTCATTGGTTTTTGGAAGAGCACGTTCTCCTTTCTGCTCCCTGGGTCCTTATTTGCATTTCATTTATGCATCTGTCACTGGATTATGAACTCGGTAGATTTTCAGTACGAATGTGGTTCTTTCTATTTCTCTGTCTCTTTTTTTCTGCCGTACTGGTGATTGAACCCAGAGGTGCTCTCCACTGAGCCACACCCGCTCCTTCTTTAAATTTTTAATTTTGTGACCCTCCTGCCTCTGCTGAAATTTCAGGTGTGTGCCACACACCTGGCTTCTATTTTTTCTTTTATGCCTTGCTTATGCTTTGTGAATGTTGGTGCTGCCTTCTCTGGATCATACCTAGTGAACTATTTGTTGTAAATTGTGCTCTTGCTCATACACTCTCTCATCTTGTTTAAAGCTTGTCAGGGTGCCATGTTCTTGGGTCCCACTTCTGTACTTCCTATGAGGAGCCTGCAGAAGACTCTGTCTCTTGAGTTCCCGGACACAGTGGAAAAGTCTGAGTCTAACTTGTACTTTTTATCCTTAGAAGGAGATTTGACTTTTCGGCCTGGTTGCCCAGATGGTTTTCTCCTTAGCTTTTTCCCTCCTTTCGTTTTACATTGTAAGTCTAGTCATCTTCTGTCCCCCACGACATCCCTGTCCTTTCAACCTGTAGATTCAAGTCTTATTTCTGGAAATTTTCTTGGATTATATCTTTGAACACTTTTGCTCATTCTTTCAGCCTTCCTTTCTGGGTGTGTGCTGGGCCCCTGGGTCTGTCACTCCTGCCCCTGGCTTGCCTTGCTGGGATGCTCTGGGGGTGTTTCCAGCAGTGCTGCTCCTGGGGGTGGTTGTAGGGCTGTGATGCAAACACGGCTTTGTGCTTCCTATAAACACGGCTAGCATGCGATTCCTTCTCTGATTTGCTTCTTCTGCTTCCTGGAGCCAATCCCAGCTGTGTTCCCAGTGCCACTGTCAGGAGCTTGGGCACCGGAGGGACCTCGGTGCGCAGCTGTGTTCTCCCCTCCCTGCTTCTTTCCAGAATGCTGCTCCGTTTTCCTGCCTTTGGCAGTCCTGGGCCTGTTTCCAGGTGGGGTTTTATTTTGCTTCTGTTCTCACTTGGAGATGGAGTTTGTATCGGAGATAGAGTTTGTTGCCAGGTGCAGTGGCATACACTTGTAATCCCAGTGACTCTGGAGGCTGAGGCAGGAGGATCACAAGTCTAAGACTAGCCTCAGCAATGTAGCAAGACCCTGTCTTAAAATAAAAGATAAAAAAGAACTGGGATGTAGCTCAGTTGTAAAGCTCCTCTGGGCTCCATCCCCAGTACCAACAAAACAAGACAAAACAAAATTAACAGACAATCAAACAAAAGGTAAGAGTTTGCATTCTGTTTCACTTTCTCATTATTTTGGGGTGCATTTCTTTCTTTTTTTTTCAGGTTTGTCAAGGTATAAATGATATACAATAAATGGTGCCCGTTTAATATTGCATTAGTCATTTTTTAATTATATCAAAATGCCCTAGGCAGGTTCTTTATAAAGAAAAGAGGTTTATTTAGTTTACAGCTTTGGAGGCTGAAAGTCTAAATAGCATCGCAGGCTCTGGCAAGGGCACCTTGGAAGATGGGGGAGGAAGAGATCCTACAGCAAAACATCAGCAGAGAGGCTGGGGTTCCGCTCTTCCTTCAAGGCAGAGCCCACTGATCTTAGGACCTCCCATTAGGCCCCCAGCTCTTTAAAATATCCTGCTCCCAATGTTGTTAAACTGAGGACCAAACTCCCAACCCCATGAACCTTGGGGGACAAACCACAGCAAATGTGTAGTATTGCCATGTTTTGACGCGTGTTCAACCCATGGGACCATCCCTGCACCGAGCCACTGCGCGTCTCTCCTCCGGCAGCTCCCACACACCCCTTGGTGGTTTCTTCTTTGTGTTCTTTCCTCTGCCCCCAGCTTTAGGTGACCACTGACCGCTTTCTGCCATGTAGATTAGATTGCATTTTCTAGAGTCCTGCTATCAATAGAACCTTGCAGCGTGTTTTCCTCTGCCGGCCCTGACACTGACCCTAAATATTCTGAAATAGGTCCAGCTGTTGTGGGTAATAGGTGGCTGGTCCTTCTAATGCTGTCTTTCCAATGCTGACACATGCTTTTATCCTCTTGGGTCAATAAGTAGGTGTGGGACACCTGAGTCAAATGGTAGGTGTATCTGCCAATCTCTTCCAAAGTGATTGAGCCACATGTCTGCAGCACGTGAGGTGAGCCGGGAGCTCCAGTCACCTGGTGTCCTGCCAGCAGTTGGTCTTTTACGTCCCAGCTATCCCAGTGCCTGGCTAGCATAGCCCCTGTGCTCTTCGGTGACATTTCACTCATGACCAACGGCACCTGTGTCTTTTCATGAGCTTGTTTTTCACACGTATCTAGGCATGTGCTGCATAAAGTTTTGCTCAGCGAGGGCCACAGATAAGGCCACAGCCCCTAGTCATTGGCCCCTAGTTATGCAGCAGCTCCAGGCCTGGGAGCAGCAGGGCGCTGACCCAGTGCTGGGAGGGAGGGAGGAAGCATGGGCAGCAAGGTCCTCTGTGTGGCCAGGGCACTCATGGGACACCTGGAGAGCTGAGGCCAGCACTTGGGGTCTGTTGCCCTGGGAAAGGGCTCCTCTGTGGTGAGAGAGACGCCACTGCACGTCCCTCCAGTTGTTTCTTCTTTATTGAGCTTGGGCCATGTGTGGTTTTAGGTGCTGGACAGCAAGGAGAGGAGGCCGGAGGAGGCAGCCTCCATGCTCAGCCCGGTACCTGTGCTTGGATTTCCCCGCGTGTCCCACGGAGGGCAAATACACATGTATGAAGGTAAGCACGTGAGGGAGCTCAGTGTTGTTTTTCTTCTACAGCAGAAGAGAGGACAGGAATGGGCCATGTCCACTGCGGGAGGCCGGGGAGAGGGAGCCTGAACCTCAGGTGTGGGGGCTGGGACAGCCCAACCCATGACAGGAAGCAGTGGGGTCACCCATGTGAGGCCAGGTGACAGCACAGTACCTGGTGCCTTGGGACACTCAGCCCCTGTGACCCTGTCCAAAAAGAGACCTAGAATAGCAGGTGAAGGGAGGACTTCTTGTCTGAAAGTAGTTCAGTGCTTATTACATTTTCATTGCTCATTATAAATGAAAAAATATGGCTTCTGGTTTATTCATCAGCCACGCAAACCTGGCCTACTGTGACCCTTCCCTGCAAGCTAGTCCAGGCGCTGGTCTGGCATGGCAGTGCGGTGTCTGAGGTGAGCTGAGGGGTAAATGCTGCCTCCAGAGGCCTCGAGGAGGACAGGGGCCACCTTCAGCCATGGGCAGCTCAGTTGGGGGGCAAAGCCTGTGAGGACACAGGTGAAAAGGTAGATGAGCCCAAGTCCTCCTGCTTTCCTGAGCCTTCTCAGCCTGGGTCAGGGCTGGGGAGACAGGAGAGGAAGACCTAGGGTGCTAGCTAGTTATGGTCACCTTGACCAAGACGTCTGACAAGAACGACGCAGAGGAGGAAGTTTATCTTGGCTCATGGTTTCAGAGACTTATTCCATTGCCAGCTGATCTGGGCCCAAGGTGAGGCAGGATATCATGGCGGAGGGCGTGGTGGGGGAGAGCCATTCAGTTCATGGCAGCCAGGAAGGGGAGAGAGAGAAAGAGAGAGGACGGGCCATAGGGAAGATGCACCTTCCAGGAAAGGCTCCCAGTGACCCCCTCCTCCTCCACTGCCACCAGCCTACAGTCCAGCCAGTCAGTCCACTCAAACTAGATGGAGTGATTAGGTTACAGCTCTCACAGTCCAACCATTCACCTCTGAACCTTCTTCCTGCATAACACAGGGGCTCCGGGGACCCCCACATCCAGACCATAACACCCAAGCTCTCTTCCCAGTGTGCTAAACCAAGCGCCTTCCTTGGTTCATACCTCTGCTACGTGCAGGGCATTTGCCTAAGCATTGTGAGGGGTAGACAGACCAGCCAACTTGGGTCTGGGGGGGCAGGTGACTGGGCTGCCTGGGGGGGTGGAGTGTCGGTCCTACCTGGCTCTCACCTATTTGCACCTGCTGTGCCTGGCCTTTGCTCCAGAGGGGGTTGCTTCAGGGCCCGCCATGCCAGGTCTCTGCAACAATCGGTTCACAAAGAAGCCTGGTGTGGGTTTGGAGCCAGACTCCTCATCTCCACTCTTCCTCTGCTACTTTCCTTTTTTGGGCAAATTGCTGAACCTGTGAGCCTAGTTCCCTCATCTGTAAAATGGGTTCTGAGCAAAGCTTCCAGATCAACACCCAGGGCTGGCAAACTCTTCTCCCTGCTCGGCTACCCAATGGGTGGCCTTCTCCAGGGAGAAGAGTCAGGGAGACCTGGGAGACCCAGAGCGGTGGGTCTTGGGGGCCGAGTGAGGCCAGGCAGGCAAGACCTGGCACCTTCTGTGGTGTGCCTGATCAGTAACCTGTGGATGACCATGAATTCAATATTCAAGTCTGTTCTGAAATGCAATTCTGGGCTACATTGTTTCTGGAAGTTTGGACAGAAAGCACAAAGAACTAAATTAAATTACCACAAAATTGCAATCACTGAGCTAATGACTGTGATAGAAAAGAATTGCAATACTTAAGTCCCGTCATTATACTAATAACCTTCGCACAGAAATACAAACATAACAATTGTTTGGCAAGAGTGATTTATTACCTGGGGAACAGAATCTGGGGGAAGAAATTCCTCCTGGCTTCTGTGAAGAGAGGAAAGGGCTAAGATTTCTTTTTTTGGTATTGGGGATGGAACCGGGGAGCACTCAACACTGAGCACATTCCCAGGCCTTTTTCTTTTTTCTTTTTTTTTATTTTATTTATTTATTTTTAATTTTTTATTGTTGGTTGTTCAAAACATTACAAATTTCTTGACATATCATATTCCACACTTTGATTCAAGTGGGTTATGAACTCCCACCTTCACCCCATACACAGATTGCAGAATCACATCAGTTACACATCCATTGATTTACATATTGCCATACTAGTGTCTGTTGTGCTCCGCTGCCTTTCCCATCCTCCACCATCCCCTCTCCCCACCTCTCCTCTTTTTTCTTTTGAGACAGGGTCTCGCTAAGTTGCTCAGGCTGGCCTTGAACTTGCAGTTCTCCTGCCTCAGCCTCCTGAGAAGCTGGGATTACAGGTAAGTGCCACCACTCCTGGATAGAGAGCTAAGATTTCTAAAGTGCCTACTGTGTGCCAGGATGCAGTGGTGGAGGTCCCTGTCCTAGGAAGTCCTGGTTCACATGGGCAGGGGGCAGCCAGGATGGCAGAGGCCATAAAGGGAAGGGGCCTTAGGAGGAGGGGGTATCAGCAGAAACCTGTAGGAGGTGGTGGCCTTGAGCTAGGCCTGGAAGCATGAGTAGGATTCAGGGGATCTTATTCCCCTTCCTCATCTCTTCTCCTCAGCCAGCTACAATCTGGCTTCTGTCCCCTGCTTTTGTCCTTGAAATGCCCTTCATGACTCCAGAACCAAAGGTGGGTCCTTAGTCCTCTTCTTTTATTTTAAATATATATTTTTAGTTGTAAAATCAAGATAGCACTCCTTGTAGGTGGACACGATACCTTTATTTATTTTTTATGCGGTGTTGAAGATCGAACTCAGTGCCCCACGCATCCCAGGCGAGCTCTACCACTGAGCCACACCCCAGCCAGTCCTCATCTTCTTTGGCTCTTAGAAGCATGTGTTCCTGGCTGCTTCTGTGGCCTCTGGACCCACCCTTCCCTGGGTCCCACAGCATCACCTGTCCCTTCCGCTGCTCCCCGTCCCCTCTTCTGTGTCCTCTCCCCTCCTGACCTCCACGCCCCCAGCTCAGCCCTCACCTCTCTTCCCTGTTGCTGGCTCCCACATCTCACTGGCCTCTCGGCCTCCGACCGACCCGCTGTGCACAGTTATCTCATTGTCTATGAAGCACTTCCCCCCCACCCCCACCCCGGGCTGTCCAAAAGACAGTCTCCTAAGCCAGATATCATAGATCAAAAAAGCTCACATCAACACCCAGGAAGTCTGCCCTGGGCCCAGTCCGGGCCCAGTCCTGACCTACAAGGGTGCTGCCAGCTGGGCATGGCCAGAGGGGAACCCTGCTGGCCTCCTACTTCTTGCGAATGCAAGCGGAGGGGATGTGCTCCTCGTCACCGCCCGGGCTCACTGTGCTGGGGCCACCTTGCTGATGTGGAGCTGGAGCCCATTCTCCGGTACAGAGAGTGTCCCTCACACAACACGCTGTGGCTTGTCCATCTGAGCCCTGATTGATATTGTGGCGTTTCCATTTTTAGAATTACGAAAGGTCCTATTTGAGGAGGTAAGGGCTGCCCTGCAGGAACCGAGGGGGTGCAGGGCGCAGGTGCCTGGGGCTGGGCTCTGAGGCGTCACGGCTGGCCTATTTATTTTAAATGAACGAGTGAATGAATTATGAATGAATAAATAAAGGAGAGAACAAAAGGAGAGGCGAGGGAATGAACCAATGTGCTTCTGAAAGGAGCATCGTGGGCGTCCACTGGGGATGGCCGTTTCCCTGGACCTTGCACACCAATCCTGGCCACAGTCCCCCAGGGCGGGGAGCGCCATCTTGATTTTATAGATGAGGAAAGGAAAGAAAAGCAAAGCTTGGAGAACCCAGGTCATTTAGCTTGCCCGGCCTCGGCTTGCCACCTGTCAACTGGGGAAGGAGGTCGAGAGGCTGAGAGGCCACTGTGCCTGGAGGGGGCTGTGAGGGCCATGGCTCAGAACTTCTGCCCCTTCTTACGACTTGAGCTCCCACAGTGTGTAAGTGGCCCGGCCCAGACTTGAACCTGCTCAACCTGTCCTGCTGCCTGCCTCGGGCACTTAGCAGACTCCAGGCCTTGCAGTGAGTAACTGAGGATGAGGGCTGGTCCCTGGGCCATCCCTGTCTTCTTGAGGCCATTAGGTTTAGGTCCTTCAGCCTGGAGGGTGATTGAACAGCTCGGTTCCAGTCCGCCCCGGGTACCCGGTGCCCTTCCTCTCCATCTGCCTCCCCTGAGGACGAGATTGGAATACAATTGCAATGGTCTGGCTCACTAATTTCATTTTCTGTGTCTGGAGTAATAGGGCCTCTTGAACTCATTACGTTTATTTAAATTCAAATAACAACCAGGTTGGTGGGCGGGAGAGGCTTTGCTGAGGAAGCCTGGTCATTCCCAACCAGGATGGCTCAGTGTTCGGCTGCTCAGTTGGGGCCCAGCAGAAGCTGACATTGACCTTGACCCCAAGTGGGCAGGCACCAGGGAGCTCCCCCCAGCACTTCACCTTCAGAGAACCAATTAGGCATGAGAACAGTGCCTTGGGGTCCAGTAGGGGCCAGCCAGCCAGCCCGCCCAGGAGATGGGTCTGAGCCTCTTCCTTGAATTAGCCATTTCCATTATGTTCTTGTCAGTTTCAGGCCAAATCTGCCCCAGGTTTTATTTCAATCTGGCACTGAGAGGTGAGGTGGGGGTGGGTGGCATTCCCAAAGGGATCTGTGTTCCCTAATGCGACAGAACTATTTTCTAGTGAGCCGGGGCACCCTCTGCTCAAGGGCTTCAGTGATTTAGGTCCTTCAGTTTGGAGGGTGATTGAACAGTTCAGTACCTGGGTGCTGTGATGGTGGTCACTGGGGACTCTGGCTACAGAGACGATAAACAAGGGACGCTGGTGCAGAGGGGTCTCAGGAGGCCACGGGAGCACTTCTCTCTTCACTGATTCCTGCCTTCAGCCTTGGTCCTGTGCTAAGTCCCTTGGCTCTCCCCAAGGCCTCTCCTCTTGGCTGACAGTGTCTGCTCAGTGTCTGCTCCCGTGTCTTGGTCCCCTCCTCTGTCTAGTACCATCCAGGCTGCTCCCCTTCCAGGAAGCCTCCCTGGTTGCCTTCGGATGCATCTTTCTTCTTGTTCCCCAGAATTTTATGCCAAAACCCAAATGCTTTCTGGGCTGACAGGCTCTCTCCTCCTGACAAGGAGCAGGGCCAATGTAGATCGATCCTGGGGTCCCCAGTGCCCACCCAGAGAGGATGCTCAGTGGCAGCTCTCTGAAATCCAACAGAATTCCCTGGTACCCGGCCCCTCCCCTTCCTTCCTACATTCACCGTAGGGTTCCGGTCCCCTCACTCCTCTGCCTCTGTCCCAGGACCACCTGCGTAGCCCCCCACTGCCAGCCGGCTCAGGCTCAGCAGATGTTGATGCTTCTGCTTCTGGGACCTCACAGCTGCTCTGCCGGTCCCCCACGGCCTTTCCCCAGCCATCCTGGCCCCAAGCCTCACCCCAACCCTGTTCCTCTTTGGAAGCATTACCCCACTGGCTGCTCAGGTTAGGACTAGGTACCGGATGCAGGGCCTGGGCCACCTGGCGCCACACTTTGCTGCCTCCTAGGCTGGTGGCTCTTTATTAGCTCAGGGTTCAATGCTTGGACTTTGATGTGGCCTGGGAATCCTTGGGCAGATGTGCAAGAACCCAGTCTCCCTCTGCACATGTGCCAAGTGGCTGTGGCCTCACTGCGTGGGCTCCACGGGGCAGCCTGCAAGAGGACAGCACTGCTTTATTCTCCAGACGGGCAAACCAAGGGGCCCTGAGGTGGAGGGCCGGCCCAGGTATACAGAGCTGCGGTGGTACCAGGTCATAGGTGAGGAGCCACCTGGCTTCTCCCACAGGCTGCAGACCTCGTTCAGAATGTGCAGATTCCTAGAGTGTTCTGGGGTTGCCTGTCAACCACGGCCACCTCTCGGTCAATCTCGGGTTGCAGATGCAGCATTTTGGTGGAGAGGTTAGTGGTGTGAGTTGTGAGCACCAGCCCAGGAAGCGGAGCCTCAAGGCAAATATCAGCTCTGCTACATTTTGCTGTATGACATCTGGGCCCTGGTTTTTCCACATGGGATAAAGGACCTCTTTCTTCTCTGTCCCCAGAAAAACTACAAGACCGGCTTTCCTCAGCCTGCTCACCATATGGTGCCCCAAGCAGGAGAAAACCATCTGCAGGGGCTGGGAGTCCTTACCATCTTGGCCAAGATGACTGTGCGTCTTAGATTAGCTAGTGGTCCATCCGAGGGAGAGCCCCTGCTGGGAGACTTAGCTTTCAGTTGGGTTCAACCTCCCCTCTCTGAGCCTTGGGCACTCATCTTCACAATGAGGCTGTTGGACTTGCTGCTCCTATGGCACCAGCAATTCATGACTGCATGCTCTAGGTAGTGACTAGTGACCTGTGGCGAAGCTGATCAGGGGGCTCTGGGGCATTGTCACCCTACAGCATATCCCAGAGACAGCCTAAGGCTCACTGCTGTCAAGAACTGCTGGTGGGGGCAGGGCTGGGCAGGGGTGGGCAGTGGTGCCTGCTCTCCTGCAAGCAGGGCCCGGGTCCTGAGCTCATCATCTAAGCAGGTAATTATGTGTGTGCTTTGTTCACTACACAAAGGGGCTCTCAGAGAACTTGGAGGGGCTCTGCTTCCTGGCTGATTTGATTTTTTCAGAGCTGGAGTGTGAAAATCAAGCTGAACCTGCCTAATTGTGTCTGGGAAGGCGATTCAGAGAGGCTCTCTTGGAAGGAAATCAGGACAATTAGCTCTTGGCTGCGGGGAGAGGGGGGTGCAAGCTCATGATAGCAAATGTCAGCCTGTTCCGGGGAACCAAAGGGCAGCACAGGGCGAGAGTGGGAAAAGGAGGGGCGTCCGCGGCTGCTTCCCAGGGGCTGGTTAGCGCCCACCGCCTGCGGGAGCATAGGCTCCTGGTGCGGGTGCCTGCGGGAGCAAAGGCTGGGGCGGGTGAGGGAGAGTGGGGTGCTCACCCGAGTCTTGGGGTTTGGCCACGTGGCCTTGGCAAGGCAGGAAGCCCGGGGTCTCAGGTTCTCTGCGTCTGCCCAGTGAGCTCTGGCACAGCGAGCAGAGGGAGCCCACTCACCCCGGGTAGCGGCCGGTCCAGCGGGAGGGTGCGGAGGGGCTGGGAGAGGCCCGTGGCCTCGCTCAAACGGGGCGGCGCAGGGTCGGGCTCCAGCTGGCCCAGCTGCTCTCCGGGCTGCCACGCTTTCTGTGTCACAGAGGAAAATTCTAACTCTAACGGCCTCTTGGGCTTCCAAGGCAGAGAGGTGGGGTCCGCCTTAGCCTTGCCTGTTCTGAGCTCTGCGACGTTACAGAGGCTCCTCGGCCTCTGCACGGCTTCCTAACCAGACGCACCTGGCATCCAGCGCCCCATCTGGCACCACGCCTGTGACAACTGCCCATTGTCCCTCCTGTGGCATCAGGAAACTGGGGTCCATGAGTCCACTTCCCAGTCACCAAAGAGTGTGTGTGTGTGAGTGGGTTTGTGAACGTGAGTGGGTATATGTGATGTGTGTAGGTGTGGGAGTGAGTGTGCATGGCTGTGTGGAAGTGAATGTGAGTGTATGTAAGAGTGTGAGTATAAGTGTGTGAGCATGTGCACATGTGAGTGTGTGCACATGAAAGTGTGAGGGTGTGGGTCTGTGATTGTGAGTGTATGTGTATGCATTAGTGAGTGTGAGCTGGGTGAGTGGTTATGGGAGTGTGTGTGTGAGTGCATGAGTGTGTGTAAGAGTGCATGTGTTAGTGTGAGTATATGAGTATATGTGTAGCTGAGTGTGTGCATGTATGTGAATGTGTATGTGTGTATATGTGTGAGAGGATACATGTGTGTAGAAGTTTGAATGTTTGTGTAAATATGTGTATGAGTTGTGAGAAGTGTATCTGAGTGAGTGTGTCAAAGTGTGTGAATGTGTATAGTGTGTATGCATGCAGTGCATGAGTGTGTGCATGGGTGTTTGAATGTGAATGTGAGTGTGTGTTGGATAGACGTGCTCCTGGATGGAGTGTGTCTTTCCGTGGGGCCCAGGATATGCGCTTCATTTTTTATTTATTTTAAGGGAAGCGGCCTGGTTTGGGTGGAGCCATAGAGCGGCATCAGAATCCGACACCCCAGGTGGGCAGTGATCATGTTCTTCAGCTCCTGTGTCTGTACATAGAGATGATGGTCACACCAGCTTCCAAGTGAGGGTCAAACTCTTTGATACACTCGGAAGTCTTGGCACAGGGCCTGGCACCACTGTTGTCACCGACATTGTGACTGAATGGCTCAGGGTCCCACTAGACACGCTAGCATGGGATGTGAGAGGAACCCACCCCGGTGGCTGGAATGAGGATGCCAGGGCTCAAGTTCAGGCAGCACCCACTGGCAAGGGGCATGTGGCATCCATTTGGCTTGGTCTATCTTGAGATGCTCCAGTGTTAAATAATTTGGATCCCACCTCTGAGAGAGGACACAAGCCTCAGGCTGCTTGCAAAGGCAGAGTTGTAGAGGAGGTGGTGGCATGTGTGGGCGTGGCCAGAGAATCCAGCCCCAGAGCCAGCCCTGGTCTGATCTGAGGAGCCTGGGCCCCACTGTCCCCAGCTGTCCACTGGGATGTGAGACCTGGAAGTGTGCATTGCCCTCTGTGCCCTGTGCACGCTGTGTATTGTGTCTGTGCAATTTCTCACACCCGTTTGGTAGGTGGGATGGGGGCGGGCAGGGAAGCAGGTTTGGAGTCAGGGTGGTGAGGCCCTGCGCAGTGCAGGTGGAGGTGGCCGTGAAGGAGGGGCAGCCAGGGGCCCTGGGGTTGGATAGCAGCTCCCAGCAGTTTGCTAGCTCTCCTGTGGGCTTCGGAAGGCTCTCTTGCCTTAGGTTTGGCCACTTGGCATGGAGCACATGGCGACCTCTCCAACATGGCCTCTGACGGTGGCCTCGTGGTGGCCCACCTGTGAGGAACACATCCTCCGTAAAGCCTTAGAGACCACAGGTCCTGAAGCCAGATTTAAAGTTAGGTGGTCAGTGTAGTTAGGTAAATCGGGTCTAATATCGAGTAAAATCGAAAATGAAGGCTATGCTGACAATGATTCAGAGAAAGGCAGGACAACTCATGGAATGTTAATGAAGTCCCGGAAAGGCCCTAGGCCAAAGTCCACCCCAAAGAAATGTTAATGGACCCAGGAAACAGCCCCCAACAGATTTGGAGATAGCCCATCCCAGAGAAGTGATAAGCCCATCCCAAAAAGTGATAATTAAGTCCTTCCTGCCCGTTTGGCCCACCTGTGTCCTAACCCTTACCCCTCACCAGAACTATAAAAAGGGGAGACAACCGCACTTCCACAGATTCCACCTCTTGGGTCCCCTTCTTCCTCCGGGAGAAGTCTTTTCTGCTGTCCTTTAATAAACTTCTTTTTTTTTTTTTTGAGAATTTTAATATTTATTTTTTAGTTATTGGCGGACACAACATCTCTGTTTGTATGTGGTGCTGAGGATCGAACCCGGGCCGCACGCATGCCAGGCGAGTACGCTACCGCTTGAGCCACATCCCCAGCCCATCTTTAACAAACTTCTAATTTCTACTCTGACCTTGCCTCGGCGTGCTCTCTGATGTTATTCTTCAACATTGGGGAAGCAAGGACTCGTCACCGGTCAACAGCGGTAACAGTCCCATTTCCTGAGCAGAGCTGAACAGTTATTTTACACTTCATCTAATTGATTAAAGTGACTCTGAATTAACGGGGCCTTTCAGAGCTGAGTGTGTGTGTGTGTGTGTGTGTGTGCATGTGCGTGTGCCGCAGTCTGGCTGGGCACAAATCACGAGCCACTGAAGCAGGAACAAACTTTATTTTTGAACTCCACCAAAACACTTCACACACGCTCCTGGGGAATTCTCTCGAATGCCACGCGGCTCCTCCAGGAACCAGCCACCGGAAATATCTCCTCCGGAAATCCCTCCTCCTGCACTTCCCCAACCAATGGGAACTCTCCGGGAATCCCCAGGAGAACTCCAAAGTAGCTGCCCAGGCAGATATGCCTCCCCTGTCAACCAATACTATTGGCAAAATGCCAGGGGCCATTCCAACTCGGCTGTGGCTCTCAGCACGTGTGTGAAATCCAGAGCCAGCTTTAGGCCAAGCTGCAGGGCTAGGCGAGAATTGGGTGGTCCTTCTGGACCCTGCTCTCTGCCATTCCTGCCTTTCCACCTTCCTCAAATTCCCAAAGTCATGTCAGCCCTGGCTCCTGGCTGGCTTCTGTGCCTTTCTGCAAACACCAGCCAGGATACAGCTGCATGGGTTGGGGTCAGGTGCATCACAACTGCTGGATGCTCCCAGTGAGTGTCAGGCCAACGAGTGGGGCGTTGGGCATCCTGTCCCCTTTATTCCCCATGGTGTCCCTGGAAAGCGACCCTATGGCCTACTCTACAGCTGGAGAAACTGAGGCCTGTTTGTGGTGCACAGCCTGGGCGGGGGGTGAGGCTGGGACAGAAGCCCAGGCCCCATTTGCTGCCATTCTCCTGCCACTCCGACGCTGCCGTGAGAGTAGGTGAGGTTGCCACCTATTTCTGGGCACGGAGAGGACACCTGCTGAGTGCAGCTGGTTCCACAAACACGACCATGTCCAGAATGGTGCTGGTTTGCTCTCGGGCTCTCCTGAGAGCTTTTACACCTTCCAGGGAGGGGGCAGGAAAGACTTTGGCCCCTGACCCTGTAAGGAGACTGTGTGTCCAAACATGCCACTTGTGACAGGGACAGGCTGCAGACACCTTGCTGGGGCTGATGTAGCATGAGGGAAAGGCCTTGGGAGCAGGAGTGACGGCTGTGCCTTCGGGAGCTGTTTGATACTTGTGTATGACACCTGTCAAGAGGCCTCTCCGGAGACACAGCTCACATGTCACATCTTCCTTCCGAGCACGGCTCCCTCGGCTGCGTCCATCCTGACCATCTGTCTGCCTCAGTTTCCCTGGGTCTGGATTGCACCTGCTCCACAGCAAGTGGTTGATAAATGATGGTTAGTTGAACAAAGTGAGGGGTGAGTGAGCAAGGGGAGTGAATGGCAGGAAGCAGAGGCTCCCTCCGTTGGCACTGAGGACAGCAGATCTGAGGTCCCCCGCGGTCTTCTCTTGAATGGTCTGGCCAGGATCTCACTGCACAGCAAGGACTGCCTCTGGCCCTACCCAGCTGCAGGGGCTGACAAACACCCCTTGGTGCCAGAGCCAGCCCATGAACACCATTTCTGCCCTGGGTCACGCTCAGCACGGCTGGCTGGAGATTTGCTAGGGAGGCCAAGGTGTGAGATGACCCAGACGGCAGGCACTGGGCAGGCCGTCGGGGTGGCGGGTGTGTTCTGTGTGGGGTGGCGGGTGGTGTGTCCTCTTGCTCTCCTGAACGCTCAGCCTGTGCACAGTCCCCTGGCCAGGTGCCTGTGAGGGTGAAGGTCCTCCCCCACTCTCCAGTCCCCCTCCCTGGCTCTGCCTGCTCACTGACTTGCCCTGGATCCAGAGTCAGTGGAGCAGAGGGATCGGGGCTCATGTCCCCAGCCTGGCTAGCAGTGGGCTAGGGCCATGTTTTCCTTATGGCACTTATTTATGGCCTGCCTATCCCCCTTCTCCAAAGTGCAGATGATGGCGGCTGTTCTGATTTCCCTTCCCACACCAGCAGGATGGCGGGCGGCCTTGGAGCGTATAGGCCCTGAGGTCAAATGTCTGTCGCCCAGGGCTTGTCTCCAGGGCTTTCCTTTTCCAACATGCCTGAGTGTCTGGAGGGAAACCTTTCCTCGACCTTAGGTTCAGTGTTGGGGGCCTGCACATTTCACCGACAATAGAGCAGCAAAGACAAGGTTGTTCACAGGCCTCAGGAGCGGCGGGGTTTACGTGCTTAACTAGTAGGAAACGGGAGTGGGGAGAGGCAGAGGTGCCATTGCCAGCTCTCCTCGGCTCAGGCTCCTGGACTCCTTTCCAGTTAGGCCTCGCTTCCAGGCTCCCTGTTCATCCCTGCCCTGTCCAACTGCAGCACAGCCTGAGGGATCAGGCTCGCCAGAAGTCCCCCTCCCCCACCTCTGAGAGCTGGCCTCCACCTCTGGTCACCTGGTGATGGTGAAGGTCCCCCCTCCCTCTCCAGTCCTCCTCCCTGGCTCTGCCTTCTAGTAGCCTGGCCTCTACTTCTGATCTCCTGGCCTGACCTCCGGTCACCTGACCCCCACCTCTGGTCACCTGGCCTCCATATCGAATCAGGCTTCTCATCCTCCATCATCCCCAGATGACGTGGGATTTCCTGTCTGCCTTCAGAGACTCCTGTTAGGTCAGCTGAGGCAGACCCCCGTGCCCTGGTGCATGCCCCGGTGCTCTTCCATGTGCTCACCTGGACCACCTGTGAATTCCCACCTTTCCTTGTTCTGTTGTGTGAGCCGGTGGGTCTCTCTCCCATTGCACTGTCCCGTTGCACTGGTCCCTGGGCCTGTCTTGACAGTTCTCTTGAATAAAGTTCGGCTTCGTACCGTCTTTAAGAAGTGTTATTGACCAATTTTTAAACATTTTTGTTTATTTATTTTTTACAACAGGCCCAAGTGGCCTGCTGTCTTCTTGACTGGAGGCCCCTCCCCTGGGGAATTTATGGCAGTTTCAATCTCCAGTCTCCTTCCTGGGAGTGGAGCAGCCCCTTCAGAGAGAAGGGATTTATGGAACCTCTTTTCCAGAAGATTCTGTCTCACATACAGACAGCTCCCAAAAGGCTTCTTTCTGCATCTGTGGAATCTCAAATGTCTTCTGTTTAACAAACCTTCACACCAACCCTGGGGGTCAGCGTGGGTCCCCACACTTCTGTGACTCCCGACCTCCTCCACAATCAGGTTCCATGATGTGCGGGCCCTGGCGGCTCCTGATCCCTGGGCTCTTTGCTCCTTCCCTCCCTCTCTTCTCCCTTCATCGTCTGCTCGTTTCCTCCTTCTGCACCCAGTCTAACCTTCAATCCAGCCTTATTTCACTACCCGATGTGTGCAGCTGTACCACAGGCTGCTCCAGCAAGGGATCCCAACACCCCTATTTCACCCATTATTTAGCAAAGAGCACCCTTCTAGATGCTGGCCACCTGTTTTGATAAGTTGAAGCACCCCTTTCGGGTTTCATCATGAATACACAACACAAGGGGAAGTGTCTGAGATTACCTGCTGGGTCCAAATGCTCTCATCAGGGGGACTGTCTGTGTTCTAAAACATGCCCTCCCGTGCCCTGTCACCTCAGAGAGGAGACAGCAACGTGCTCCACACGGGACAAGTTCTGATTTTTGCTGCAGGAACAGTAAACTATGAAAACCCAGCACAATGGGAAGGGCCTGGGGAGGGGCTTGAGGGGTAGGGACCAACAGTGCCCCCTCGGAGGGTGCTAGAGGCTGGGACACTGCTGCTTGCTGGAGGGGCCTCAGAGTGAACCCCCTTTCCTGGTCCCCTGCACTCTTGGATGATCTTAGAAGAGGAGCTGAGTCTCTCACTGGACTCTGGCGCTAGAAGCAGGAGATGGGGCTGAGGCCTCCGGGAGGCATGAGCTCCCAGGAGTCTGCCGATGTCTTGGGGCTGGCTTTGAACTTCGGCCCACACTGGGGGAGAGGAGGGAGATGTGAGTCAGTTCCTTCTAGTTCCTGACACCTGGATGTCCTGATGCTGACACCCACCTGACAGAGACTGTGATCCAGATGCTGGAACTAGGAAGAAGGACCGTGGGAGAGCCCCAGCCCGGTCCTGCACTCGGCCTGCTGGCTCTCGCTGTCGCTGAAGGCGGCTCAGGGAGGCCCGGGGACTCAGACTCTCTGCAGGGAAGGGTTGCCTTTCTCTGCTGCAGCACGGGGATAACCCAGGCTCCCAGCCTTGAGCTCCTGCGCTTGCCGGGACCTGGGCAACACTGTCTCCTTCCCAGGGTGACCACTCCTGGTTTCCCCATGAACTTCCACATCTTCCCCTTGACTGGATCCTGAAGTTTGTTTCTGAGGCCAAGCAGGAGCCTGGAGCCCTGGGAGCTGGTTTAGCTGTCATGGAGCTAAACATTCCTCCTCCCGAGGAGGGGTCCCAGGTTGCTGAACAATGTTTCGTTGGCTTTGATCTTGCCTAGTGGTGAAGCCAGGCAGCCTCTAGCTGGGCGGTGGTGGTGGGGTGCTGGTGGGGTGTGTTGTCTGCCTTGTTGTCTTCTCTGGTGTGTGTGTGTGTGAGAGAGAGAGGGGGGCGGAGAGCGCACATGAAAGGTGGGGGCAGAGAGAAGGGTTCCAAGGAGACGTCTGCCAGCTGATGAGCTCAGCCACCCTTGGTGACTGCAGCATTCGGATCTGTAATGGGGTCAGAGATGGGCCCTCTCCAACCTCCTCTCCAACCTGCCTTCCTGCCACTGGCAGGAGCTGTGCTGTTGACTGGCACAG